CACACACACACACACACACAGGTCATCAGATGGACGCCGGATATATCCGAAAGGGTTAATTCCATGTGAAAGAAGTATCAACGGCCACAAACTGTACAGCTTTCTTTGTACTTGTTAGGTGTGTGCAACAGCACATGGAGAATTCTGAGTAATTCACACTGACGTCACTTTGCAGAGAACGAAATCTGCTTTGCTTCCGCTTCAAAGAGCAAAGCTTCGACTTTGACGTCGACGTTTCCCTCGAAAAATGTTAACCCTTTGCACTGTGAACAATTTTTAATACGACTTATCAGCAACTGCGAGTCATTTTTACTATCGGCTGCCAGCGCGTAATGATATTGAAAATCTTGCTCCGTCATTGAGGAAAACGTGAATTTTTAAAAATACGTTTCATCGATATTCTTCATTTTATGAGAGTGAAAAATGATTTATGTAATAATTTTAACACAATTATTTATACAGACTAACAGACAGCACAGGCTTCCAAGGAAAACTGTATAAAGCATTTAAATTGAGAAAGCAATGTTTCTTTTTGATGTCGCCGCTGCAAATGGTTAAAAACTTTCTTCTCTGATGACTGGATGCAACATTCAAGTTTCATCACAATGATTGCCAACATTCTGTCGTCTCCACCTAATCGACAATTCCGACGAAATTCGACAAAAAGAATCGCGCAGTTTCGAGAAAAATTTTTCAATCTCTCCCGACAAGAGAGCGTTTGAATTTCTCAAGATGATCGTCGAGGGAAGTGTCATTTTCGAAATTCGTGAGGCTTTGAAAAAAAAAAAAAAAAAAAAAGAAAAAAAACAGAAAATGGATCGTCATTTTGCTTGATAAAGTGTGTCGGCCGAAATAGTCGACGACTTTTCATCGTGTCACTGTGGCATTAGGTAAACGAGGCACGTACCTGAGTCTGACGTTGTCGTTGGTCAAAGTCTCGAAGCGTGGCCAGTCCTCGCGGCATGCGGTACACTCGCAACGAAACCAATACCTGCCGGCCAGAGTTCTCTGCCGCTCGTGCAGGCTCTTCTTCGTGAATATCGGCCCGTAGTTTTCAGCGACCACGTCTCCCGGCCGCAGGCTGCGAGTCGCCCGAATCACTATGCGTCGGCCGACAAAGTACCTGTGTCAAGTGAAAAGCCAACAGTCGAAAAGCCAGAAAATCGTCGAAGCATTTAGAAAAATCGGCCGACCGTTACAACCCTTTCTTTTCTTTTCTTTTCTTTTCTTTTTTTTTTTTTTTTTTTTTTGTACTAGTTTTCATCGTACGTTCCAATCTAGAAATATTTAACCCTTTGCGGTCAGTGTCCCTTCAAATTAAGAAAGGGCACAATTACGCCGTTACGCGAAAAAATGGCAATCAACCCAGTTATTCCAAATTCAATTTTTCCATCTATTCATTTGTTTAGCATATCGATTTGTTTCCGAATGCAATTGTGTCGAGCAATGCATCCGCGAGAAATAAATGGAAATAGTTTGAAAAGTTCGTCGGGTCTAGATCGTTACGCGTGACATGTTTCCAAATTCCGTAAATTCATACTATAGCAGTACTCTCGTTTCTATAATTTTTAAGCTCCTGCATTTAAAATTTATCTTAATTCAACATCATCGACGTCGCAATCACTTTTCTCTATATATATGGTCTATAAAAAAATAAATTATCTAAAGTTTTAATTTTAATTTAATAATCCTCCCAATCCTCCCAAATATTTATTCAAATTCAATACCAACTACTAAAACAAATCAATATAAAATTCTGTAGGATCTTATCGTCCCATAAAAAAAAATTTTAACATTTTTATTAAAATTTCATTTATTTTATTGGCAAAATTCAAGATCAATGACGCCTCTTTCTTTTTGTTCAATTTTTGCAAAATTTTTTAATTTTCAAAATGTGTGCGGTCGCGCTTGCAAACAAAAGTGAAAGTGAAATCTTAGCGAAGCGTGTTGACTTGGTCAATTACACGATCCGAACGATCTTCAATTAATGACACCGATGATCAATCAGCGATCAATAGTGGCGATTCGTCGAACAAGCTTTTAAGTAAAGATTACGAGTGTAATCTACTTAAGTAAAGACGACGAGTGTAGAGCGTGGATACGCACCTGGTTACCGCGGGATAACAGTCGTGATTGAAGCGGGCAACCGTCGGGTAGACGGCCACGCCGACGTAGAGGGGTCTGCTGCCGTGGAATCGATGTTCCCTTCCGAGTCGCGTCTCAAACACCTCGTGCGCGTTGAACTGCAACAGCTGAAGCTGTCTCAGCAGCAGAGCGGCCACCGCGATCTCTCCATCGTCGAGCGTCTCTGGACGGAAAAAGGAAAAAAAGAAAAAAAAAAAAAAAAACCGACGACAAAGGACGCTAGAATCGGTCGCGTTTTCTACCAACCTCGTCCTTCTTCTTCTTCTTTGTCCTTCAAAGTCGCCGTTTGCCCCTCGAAAAAGCCGACTCGCTGCAAACACTTGAGGAGGAACGCGGCCATCAACGATCTCTCGAAAAAGTCCTTCGCCGTCCTCTGTTTCTCGTGCGTGACCAGACGGTACACTCGCAGAGGATCGCTCTCCGATTTCTCCCGAGTCTCTGCCGCTTGCTTCCGGCATCTCGAATCGCCGAGTTTCTTCCTTCTCAAACGACGTTTCGCCGACTTGCTGAGTTTCGGCTGTTGCTGTTGCTGCTGCTGTTGCTCGTTGTTCGAAGCTCGTTGTTCGGAACTCGAACGATTCAACGCGCGATGGATGCTCGTGCAGCCGGCTAGCCCGGCCTGAGTGGTCATTCGCAAAGCGAGCATGCTCAAAACGCTCATGCCGGACCCTAGCAGAAGAACCGGAAGCGATCGTTAGGAACGTGCGCCGGTGTCGCACACAAGACGTCGGTCATACTTGCCTATCAGTAGCGCGAGAATTTTGCACTCGTACTTGTGATAACTGGCGAGCGCCACGTCCCTGCAACTTCTCCCGCAAAACGCGACGCTGCTGCAGTCCGGGCATCCCACCGGAGCGACGAATCTGAAATCACAGTGTGAAAACGACGAGAGATCTATCACCGACTGGGTTTCTCACCTCGAGAAACAGTGTTGACAGTGTGTGCCGAAAAACTCTGGCAACAGAGTGGCCGCGAACGGCTCCTCCACCACCAATCTGTCGCCCGGCTCGATCGGCTTGGCCGCAATCACCCGCTTGCCAGCCTTTTCCGTCTCCTCGATGTCCAGCAGCAGCGAGGCGCTCGGCAGGCGAGGATTCGCGCCGCCGGTCAGTCGAGTCACCGCTGCGACGACGACGACAAGCGACGAGTCAGACAACGACGGTGGCTCGGCTTTCCGATTTTTCGGCGAAAAGCGAAAAACTCACCTGCTTCTTCCACCACGTGTTTCACAGGCAACAGGCTCCTCTCTTCGGTGGAAGCTCGTACGAACGTCTCGCACAGCTTCTTGATCCGAGCGAGCATCGCTCTGAAAAACAGTCGACTCACTCTCGTCAGCAGCGACGTATTTTCCACACGATCGCGAAAATACCATAGTGAAAAGTATCGTAACGTAGCAACGCAATAAGAAATTACTGCGATGCAATTG